CTTGGTTTTACTCATAGTACCTCCGACTCATCTCTACTTGTGTTCAATAAGAATAAAACACAATTATTCTTACTTATATACGTCGATGACATATTACTAACGGGTAATAATCAAGATGAAATCACCAAAATTATCCATCAGCTGCACAGTCACTTCACCATGAAGGAGCTAGGCCCAGTAAACTCTTTTCTGGGAATCAAAATTCAAAAAGAGAAAGACAAGTATTTTTTATCCCAGCAGCTTTATGCGAACTCTATCTTGCAACAGGCGCAATTAACTCAGTGCAATCCCTTGTCCAATCCCACGTACACGAAGCCACCGAAAGATATTCCACCGGATCCAATACTCACTGACCCGACCACTTACCGTAAAATTACCGGTTCCTTGCAGTACCTAACTCTAACTCGTCCAGACATTACCTACAGTGTAAATCTTCTCTCGCAACACATGCACCACCCACTGCCGGAACATGCGTTTCTCCTCAAAAGACTTCTTCGCTACATCAAAGGTACGCTAAACTACGGCATTCCTATTCTAAAATCTAATCTACTTCTTTCTTCTTTTTCAGATGCAGATTGGGCAGGAGATCCGGTCTCACGGAAATCAACATCCGGCTATTGTTCGTTCATTGGTCAAACACTAATCTCGTGGACGGCTAAGAAACAAACAACAGTGGCTCGATCATCGACGGAGTCAGAGTATCGTTCTCTAGCAGCACTCACCGCGGACGTCATTTGGCTTCGAAGATTGCTCACAGATTTCGGAATTCACCAAAATACACCAACTACTATATACTGCGATAACACTTCGGCTATAGCTCTTGCAAACAATCCGGTGTTCCACGCTCGCACCAAACACATAGAGATAGACCACAGATTTGTTCGCGATCACATTCTTCAAGGCAACATTCGACTGTTCCCCATCAGCACAACCGATCAGATCGCAGACATCTTCACCAAACCTCTATCGACTCCTCGATTCCATCACTTACGTCTCAAACTGAACGTTATTCAGAACCCTTCAGCTTGCGGGGAGGT